AAAGTTAAGTTATTTAGAGGTACGACCGACTGTTAAGCTCCTAAGACGAAAAAGCATATACACATATATAAAGGAGACTTTAGGGATATTTAAGTGTAGATACGGCCATCCGTCCTGTCTTCGGGTCCACTAATTTAGCCCTATCGGCTAACATTTCGGTCTAGCATAGCCAACTAGCCAAACAGACACGCTACACTCTATGATATAAATATTTAGTCGAATCGAAAAGTTAAAACATTATGGATTTCCTTTGTCTAATATAAGTGTTTTTTTTCTTCAAATCAAGTTGTTTATCGTGACTTTGGATGTATTTTTCATAATGTTAAAAGTTAATGAAAGGTTAATTAAATGTATGCGTTACCAATTAAATTTCAAAAGTTGGTATATGAATAATTAGTTTGGAGAGGGGGTAAAAACATACATATTTGTGGAAAATTGAGATCACATTGTATAAAAACACTAAAAGAATAAATCCAATTATTATTAAACCCAATGAGACATTGAGTGGTTCACAGTTAAATGATAATCCTGTTTAATATAATATATAAATATGTTTTTTTTTTAATTAGGTATACGGTATACCACGAATCACTAAACAATGCTAATGTTGCGATTTTTATACTTGATATACATTTTTGTTTGAATGGAAATCTTATTATTGACAAAGGTAGTAATTATAGTATTGACAAAGATGCTGAACACAAAATCGTTTTAAAATTCATATTTTGTTTTTCATGATTTTAAATTCTTTTACTAGGTCTAAATTCTAAAATAATGTTTATATGGTTTGAACATGTACTGAACATTATGGCTTGATGGGTATTTAAAAAATCCGAACTTTATTATTTAAAAATATAATTTGTAATAGTGATTCTAATTCTGCTTTACAATGATATTTGAACCCGATTTAAAACGACACAGTATAAAATGTTTTTTTATTTCTATATTGATACTTTATCACATGATAATTTTGTATGTATAAAAATACAATAGTCGTAGCTTTGGAAGCCCTAATTATATGTGTTGTTTGTTTGTAAATGTTCGTCGTTCTAAACATATTATTATCATTTTAAAATGAATAAGTATTTTTATATAACTTAAACTTTTTTCGTTAATATTACAAACTTACAAGAGTTACGGTCTATTGAAAGACCCTAGTGTTATGCTTACAATTATAGAGGCCAAACAATTGTTGTTATCTGGCAGCCAAAAGTATTTCCCTAAGTTTTATGTTTTAATGGGCTATAGATTTGTATTATAATTTTTCGGAAAATACTGATTTTTCGATCACGTGGTTGGTGAACTTTTGAATTTGCTTTTCGAATATGTATATGATTATCGCGTACTTGTCCGCATTGTTCGGGCCTTTTGGCAACACGGAAGTCTTTGTTTTGAATTGTGCATTGACCGAATCGTCAACGTGGTCGGGTAGCTGTCGGCAATAGGTTTTCCTGAACGGACCGAAGTAACGTTTTATATGAGTATTCAGGTAAGTATGGAAAGTACTGGAATGATGGCAGCCGATTTTTATCGTTTTTCCGACCTTATCATTTTACTTATTAGCTTATAATTTTACTTTTTTTTTCTATAGGCAACACCCAGAAACTCGCCAAGATTGCCATATATATAGTTATTTATTTCCTTCTAAATTCGTATATATATATTTTTTTCTAAATGAAAGTTACTTGGTTATAAGTCATTAACCACAATTGATTTAATTATTTAAATAATAATAATGATTTTGACATTATCAATAGTTAAGTTAATTTATAATATAGGTATTACTGAGACGTATAAGAACTTTTGATTCGATTTATGGTCTATCAATCTGGTCAAGGTGTTTCTAGGTGTTATTTTTCTTTAAGTAACAAGCATTTTTTTTTCTTTCTATCACTGGAAATGCGCCGATTGGCGATTCAGCGATCTCTCTTTAAAAATGATGCCTGTACCGTTGCAATCATTACATATAGCTGGACGAGTTCGAACAGAAGTTTGATAATTTCTATTATTATTATTTTTATTGATACTATATTTCATACGTGATTTACAGAAAAAGGAAATATGGCCAAGCCTATTACAAATCCAACAGCGTGTTTTTGCATACTTGTTAGTGTTAACATTACTACGATCAATAATGTTAGAAACAGTCTTAGGTGATTGAGATTTTTGTTTAGGTTCCCTTACACTAGATCTGTTAACATTACGTTGTGAATTATAACATCTATCTATTTCTTTTTCTATTGATTCAACTGACCTCCCCTTAACATCCTTATCTACTACATCGTTACAATCATTTCCTATGTCATTGTTTCCTATTTTAATTAGTTCAGGGGATTCTATAATTTCTGATTCAAAAAATCCTTCATTACTACTTTCATTACTATCGCTTTTGGTCAGGTCTATTAATTGGTCTATAACTTGATTTCCTAAAGTATCTTTTGATTCCATTTTTTTTTTTTAATTTTGGGAGATGACTGGGCCTACCTACACTTAAGATAATACTTATATAAAACAAAAGTTCTTAACCTAGCTTAATACAATATAAATTTCTTATCTACTTACAAAAGAGCGTTCATATTTGAATGGTTCTTCCAAAAACGTCGATTTCAACGAAGTGCTTCAATTGACTTGTCCCTTCCAGTTGAAATCTGTTGGACTTGATGTCGTTACCGTCTTTGAATGATCCTACCGACTGCGCCAATGTAACAACCCTGTAGCCCTGTACGTATGTATTGCAGGCTGTTTGAGTCTTGTCACAATCGTGGTGATAGGTTTTTAGATATTTAATAGAATAACTTCAGAGTAAATCACAAACACTTAATTTAATATACTTATAAAACATGTACAACGACAAACAGTTAATAGCATAAGTTCAGTATGCTTCAAAAATATAATGATTAAGACAATTATAAGCCGCTTAAGACTTCAAAAGAAGATGATAGGTAGAAACTTCAAGTGTAGTGTATGGTGGTCCCAGCACATCTGCCTGCTATGACTGAAGTTCTCCCTTATATGCTGGTACGCTCGCTGAATGGCCGTGGGAATCCTCGCAATTATCGAAAGTCCGCACGTGGATGACCTCGCTCGTCCATGACATCCGCTTATGTCAACGGTGGAGGAAGGGTAGAGGCATGAAAGTGCAGCCTTCGCATGGTCGAAATTGGCTAGCTTCGATGTGAGATTCGCACGGTAGTTACCAAAACGTTAAGTTCCTTTTAGTGGTTGGCCTCGTTGTTGAGGTCAACTGTGAACAGAATTACAAGTTGTCTGCTTTCGCAAGATGCTGTAACGACCTTTTGGGTCTGATGTGAAATCGGCACGTGTGGTACATTCATATTCAGCAATATTTAACAATGAGAAGTTATATAATATTATATATAGATATATGTATATGTTAGTCCTGATAAGTTATACAGTGTAATATATATATATATGTATCTATTAGCCCTGAAAAGGGTGGGTCCTTAACAAGTTTAGGGTTGCCATTAGTAGTATGTTTTGGCCGTATGTAGCCCTGTTATCAGGCTCCTGTTATCACTAACAAGCTCCTGTTATCACAGGATCGTGATAACAGGATTGTGATAACAGGGCGTGATAACAGGGCGTTATAGCAAGGCGTGATAACAGGGCGTGATAACAGGATTGTGATAACAGGGCGTTATAGCAAGGCGTGATAACAGGGCGTTATAACAGGGTCGTGATAACAGGGTGTGATAGCAAGGCGTGATAGCAGGGCGTGATAGCAGGGCGTAATAGCAGGGCGTGATAGCAGGGCGTGATAGCAGGGCGTGATAGCAGGGCGTGATAGCAGGGCGTGATAGCAGGGCGTGATAGCAGGGCGTGATATCAGGGCGTGATAACAGGGCGTGATAGCAGGGTGTGATAACAGGGTCGTGATAACAGGGCGTGATAGCAGGGCGTGATAACAGAGTCGTGATAACAGGATTCGATACAATACATTGTATTCGATACATAAGACTACTATTATATCGTACAGTACACGTACGATAAAACGTGTGTTTTGGCCGTATGTAGCCCTGTTATCAGGCTCCTGTTATCACTAACAGGCTCCTGTTATCAGGCTTCTGTTATCACATGATCGTGATAACAGGAGCCTGATAACAGGATTGTGATAACAGGGCGTGATAACAGGGCGTTATAGCAAGGCGTGATAACAGGGCGTGATAACAGGATTGTGATAACAGGGCGTTATAGCAAGGCGTTATAACAGGGTCGTGATAACAGGGTGTGATAGCAAGGCGTGATAGCAGGGCGTGATAGCAAGGCGTGATAACAGGGCGCCATAACAGGGTCGTGATAGCAGGGCGTGATAACAGAGTCGTGATAACAGGATTCGATACAATACATTGTATTCGATACATAAGACTACTATTATATCGTACAGTACATGTACGATAAAACGTATGTTTTGGCCGTATGTAGCTCTGTTATCAGGCTCCTGTTATCACTATCAGGCTCCTGTTATCAGGATCGTGGTAACAGGAGCCTGATAACAGGATTGTGATAACAGGGCGTGATAACAGGGCGTTATGGCAATGCGTGATAACAGGGCGTGATAACAGGATTGTGATAACAGGGCGTTATAGCAAGGCGTGATAACAGGGCGTTATAACAGGGCGTTATAACAGGGTCGTGATAGCAGGGCGTGATAGCAAGGCGTGATAACAGGGCGTGATAACAGGGCGTCATAACAGGGTCGTGATAGCAGGGCGTGATAGCAGGGCGTGATAGCAAGGCGTGATAGCAAGGCGTGATAGCAGGGCGTGATAGCAGGGCGTGATAGCAGGGCGTGATACAGGGCGTGATAACAGGGTCGTGATAACAGGGCGTGATAGCAGGGCGTGATAACAGAGTCGTGATAACAGGATTCGATACGGCCATATCACGATTCTGTTATCACAATCCTGTTTTCACTACTGGTATCACAATCCTGTTATCACTACTGGTATCACACACACACACACACACACGCACATGGTGGGGACGGGCGAACATCAGCATATAAGGAAGGGTGCACCACCCAACATTTAACAGTTACCAGTTATCACTGCAAGACAGTCGGTGAACAATCATTTGTGCACATACACACACGTACGGTCAAGGTAAGTCCGAGCCAGAGCTTAGATGTATTAAGTCAAACAATATTGTCATTTACAGATGAGTCAAATCACCAAAGATTTCCTAAACGACCGCAGCGAGTTCGTGTTGGAATCGAGGAGACGTCACATTACGGAGATTCAACCCTTCGTCCCATACAGAGTGATACGGTTCGAAACGGTCGTTACAAAGCACGATGCGCGTACGCCCGCCGTAGAATTACGCTTGGGCGATAATCCACAACCCATACGCGTATACTTGCCAACCAGATTCAGAATGACCGACGAAGAACTACAGAAGCCGATAGATTCTAATCTAACAATGATCTACAAGGGAAAGAAGAACGGGTCCAACGTCCACGATGTCGTATTTTTATAATATTATGGGTAAGTGCAATAGTCAGTTAGCAGAAAAAAAAATTAAATAACTAATTGCTGGTGTCTGTTGTACTCTACAGATAATGACGGACCGTTCGACGACTGACCTGCAGTACAACACACGCGCAAATATATAAGTAGCAGTAGGAGTAAATGTGATTAATGTCAATAAAAAAAAAAAAAAAAATGTATGTTTAGCTATTAATACCTAAATAAATATATATATATATCAAGTAAACGAAATATGATCTTATTATTATTATTATTACGATTTGAATGATATTGTACTAATAAAATAAATATTATTAACGAACACACACACACACACACACACATCAAGTAATTTATATCATATTAGGATTATTATGTTATGTGTGTATTACTACTATGATTATTATATAAATAATAGTATTATTATTATATTTAATTTTATTGGAATAAATAATATATACAAATAATATATATATATATATATATATATATATATATGCGCTTGCGCGTACATGTTGCAGAAATGGATAACGTGTCTTCGACGCCACGGGGCCATTAAAAGAACTCCAGTCGAAGTCTCGTTATCCATTTCTGCAACATGTACGCGCAAACGCATATATATATATATATATATATATATATATATATATATATATATATATAACACATCATGTAATTTATGAATTCACGCCGTTGGCAATTCGTGCCACGTCCACGAGGAATGGAGGCTCACAGACGTGTCTGAAATTTGTGCGTCGAGGTCGACGGCCGCATGGTCAGTGCACAAAGTAAAAAAAAAAAAAATATTATCATTATTAGTTTATCTAACATACGTCCACGATACCGTAGTTATATAATATTATGGGTAAGTGCAAAAAAAAATATTATCATTATTAGTTTATCTAACATACGTCCACGATACCGTAGTTATATAATATTATGGGTAAGTGCAATAGTCAGTTAGCAGAAAAAAAAATTAAATAACTAATTGCCGTTGACTATTGTACTCTACAGATAATGACGGACCGGTCGACGACACGCACACACACACACACACACACACACACACACACATCATGTAATTTATATCATATTAGGATTATTATATAAATAATAGTATTATTATTATATTTAATTTTATTGGAATAAATAATATATACAAATAATATATATATATATATATATATATATATGCGCTTGCGCGTACATGTTGCAGAAATGGATAACGAGTCTTCGACGCCACGGGGGCCATTAAAAGAACTCCAGTCGAAGTCTCGTTATCCATTTCTGCAACATGTACGCGCAAGCGCATATATATATATATATATATATATATATATATGCGCTTAGATGTACGTTGTGAACCAGGTGACGACGGTGGCGGCGGCGGCGGAGGCGGTGGTGTCTCGGGTGATGGGGACACCGTCCACGGCGTAGTTGGTGGCGGTGTGCAATTGCTGCAACACCTGTCCGGCGAATGCGCTATAAATACCGGCGCTATATATATTGTCTTTCAATAACCGGAAAGTTCATCTTAATACGCACGTTTTCAAACCTAACACACACACACACACACACACACACACACACACACACACACACACACACACACAGTGAAAATGAATCAGTCTTGTGTTGTATGTAAGTACACGTTTGCTAACCGAAAGAATATGCTACGACATCAAAGACAGTTCAACCATTACTTAGGTATAAATGAATATGGAAATATGATTAAATAGATTAATATCACCCTGACACGTTATTTACAGTTGGACCGGATCAACCCGGATCAACTCAGCAATCCCCCAACGAAGGTAAGGAAAAAAAAAAAATAGATCAGTATTAATTTTAGATATATGATAGAACAATAATAATAAGAAAAGTGAAATATCATTACAGCGACCGCGCCTCAACACACTGATCATCGTCAAGTCCATGTTGATGATGAAGGTAATTAAAAAAGAAATATAATAGTATAGGATGATTCTATTTGTTGTTATTTAATTACAGTATGGATAGACTTGACTACAGAAGAAGAAAATAGGGAAGCAGACAATTTTAGTAACATCGGGGAAACAGGTAAACAAAAAAAAAATAATGATTTAAGGTAACTAATATACATTCATTCAACTCGGCTAACACGGTCACAATATATATGTATCAGAAAGAGTACCGGCTGCAATGAATTCGGTCAACTACAGCAGTGTCTGCGACGACCACAATTACAGCAGTGTCTGCGTCGATCAAAATATCGGTAAAAAGAATATTAATAATAATAATATACAAAACAATAACAGGGTTGATCAATTTAGAATAGATCGACGTCTGGCCTCCGTCTCCGACACACCACACAGGAACCGTCGCCGACACATCGATAAGAACTGGTGGTGCCATGACAATGACCGGTATAATCAATTACACTAATTAAAATAACGCGTGCGGATAAGTACTAATAAATGGAAACATATAGGTCAAATGGACGCTACCGATGTGCCGAGTAGAATCACAACAACGGCTGCTACAGACGGCCGCAATACCGATAATATGCAAATACAAAGTCCGAACCGTAAGAATACAACCAATACAATTAATAATATGATTATACGTAAATGATAAATTAATTTAAAATAAGTAGTAAAATGATAATTTAGTTATGAATTAATTTAAAATAAATTTTTTTACATGGTATTTATGTTAATGTTGGAATTTAAAATAAATTAACAAACCGTGATATACACACACACACACGCGCACACACACACACACACACACACACACACACACACACACACATAGTTTTCATAACGCATGTTTCGGAACGCGTTACATTTTTTTTCTCGACTATATTCATGTGGGCAGTATTTTTTTTTTTTTTTTTTGATTTGCTGTGTGTGTGTGTGTGTGTGTGTGTGTGTGTGTGTGTGACAATATATATATTTATAAGGAAATAACAGTGTACTGTAATTTAATATTCATAGCGCTCGACAACGACGATGAGAATAATAATAATAATAATAATAATATTAATAACGGTGTGTATTTGCTTTACGAACAGCTCGATTCGGCGATGCTTTCGACGGCCGAATTTCAAATTTCAAAATCGATTGTCGAAATACGACCGCCGACATTAATGAGTTCTTGGTCCGATCGGAAGCTAAGGTGTTGAAGGTGTGGGATAAACAGCTCGTTCGGTACGTAGCGCTGAAAGTGAGTCTGGGTTTGTACGCGGTGTACGAAAAACAGAAGCAGCCGGCTGCTGGCGGCGCCGACGTGTATGACACATGTGTGCACGATCACGCGGCCGGTCCGGTCATACTGACACAGGGACAGGATCAGCACACAGTGTATACACAGCTTGCTGATATTATTCGTACGAGCGCCGACGAATTTGAACGTGGCGATTCGGGGTGGGCGTTTCGCGAGAACGTATACCTCGAAACGTCTACGTACAAGTATAATCCGCTCAGGGCATCGTGCACAATTACTCTGCCTACCTCGCTGTTGCGGAAGAGCGCCGTCCTGAACATCGCGAACACCGATGATGCATGTTTTTTTTGGGCGATCGTGGCGCACATCCACCCTGCACCGGCAGGTGTTGATCCCACGCGTACTACGAGCTATCCCCCCTACAACCGTATACTCCAAACCCGCGGGATCTCGATGCCGGTGGCGTTAAAGTCCATCCCAAAATTCGAAACCGACAACGAGATCAGCGTTAACGTGTACGCTTGGGAGGATAACAAGATCGTAGGGCCACTTTACTATACGACCGAAAAGCGAGTGCGCCACGTGAACCTGATGTACGTCACATCGGTTAACCGCACCGACGGCCATTATGTGTTGATAACCGACTTGGCGCGCGCCGTGGGGAAACAATTGTCTAGGCGCGGGCACAGAGCGTTTCTGTGTGACGGTTGTCTCCTCACGTTTAGGAACCAAGCGGCGATGGATCAACACGAATGCCGGCGGTGTCGCGTTGTTCTCCCATCGGACGATAAAAATATCGTCGAGTTCATCAATTGGAAAAACATCGTTCCCGTTCCATTCTGTATTTACGCAGACACCGAAGCTATCCTCAAACCGATCGCTCCGCCCCCGAATGCCGGTGGGACCTACGACATCGCGGAGCACGTAGCGTGTAGTTTCGCTTACTTTGTCAAGTGCGATTTCGATTCGTCACTTGACAAGTTTGAACTCTACCGGGGCGCGGATTGCATGTCGGTGTTTGTGGAACGGTTGGAACGGGACGTGAAGGCCATAGCTCGACGGTTTTTCCCCGGTGGATATGACCCCCCTTACCCCCGCGCAGCAGGCAGTGCACGATGCGGCGACCGTGTGCTACGTCTGCCGCGAACCGTTGACACCGGTCGACAAGGTGCGGGACCATTGTCACCTGAGCGGACGATACAGAGGCCCGGCTCACAGCGCGTGTAACTTAAAACTGCGAGTACCGAACTACGTACCGATCGTGCTCCACAATTTTTCGGGTTACGATAGTCATTTTCTCACCACCGCCCTCGCCGACGACACCAATCAAATCCAAGTCATCGCCAAGACCAAAGAAAAGTACATTTCGTTGTCTAAGTTTCTGCGGTTGGACGACGAAACCGGCGGGAGTCACACAATCGTCATGCGGTTCATCGATTCATACCGGTAAGACTGATAAAAACAAAGCAGTAATTTTGGTCTACAATAACGGTATTTCTGGACAGGTTTCTGCCCTCGTCGCTGGACGAAGCCGCGCGGTCGCTGACCGACGTCCAGCTGGTGAACACCAAAACCCGGTTTCCGGACGATGGTCAGTTCCGGTTAATGAAAACGAAGGGGTATTTCCCGTACGAATACGTAACGAGCGCAGAGGTGCTTGAGGAAACGTCGTTACCTCCACTCGACGCTTTCCGGAGTCAGTTGACGTTGTCCACCATCACGGACGAACAATACCGCCACGCGCAGACCGTGTGGTCAACGTTTAACTGTCAAACACTAGGCCAGTATAGTGACGTATACATGTGCGGCGACGTGTACTTACTGGCCGACGTGTTTGAAACGTTCCGGAAGTTTATCCTCGAGCACTACAGACTCGATCCAGCTGCGTATCTGACGACCCCTTCGTTAGCCTGGGATGCGATGAAGCTAATGACAGGGGTCAAAA